TGTGACAGCTGCGTATGCGCGCAGAAATCCATGGAACGTAAGACGATGTTTCTACAAACGTTACAAATACGCCATTGTACCTGACGCATTGTTCTTTTTTTGAAATACGCCGGCAACTTCAGGTTCTCTCCGGGACTTGCTCTACTCGTTGCCGTTGATCAGCAAGTTTTTTTTTCCTGTACCTTGACGTCGGGTGTTGTTGCGCAACGAAATAGTCATAACTCCGCATCGAGACGATTTTTGACGGACTGTCAGCCTCGATTATTGTTATGTTTCTCACGTGCCCTTTGCTCCTATAGAGCAGCTAGTACCTAGGAGAATACCATCACTACCGGAATTTGTTTTGATGCGGAACTAGAGTGACGTGACGTGGGTACCATGCAGGTACCACGAAGTGATTAGATTCACATTCATCAATCGTTTCAACAAACCCTTTTTATTAACAGATTATCAACAATTTCATTAAACAGTTTTGACCTAATCCGTTATTCAAATAGTAAGCCAGTTTATTTTTGAAGGTGTACTCGTAGTGTTTGTGTTTGCGATTAAATTATAGTTTCCCTCAACCGCGAAAGCCAACGTGCGGTAAATTTAATCGGATTAGAGTTTGTTAGGCAACAAAACGACAGCACGCCTGCACGATTTGATTTGCATCTCAATAACTGATTGATTATACGCACTTTGTCAGTGCCGCTTGAAAATGAAAACGCAGCGCGGAATTAGCGAGGAGGTACCGTTAGTTTGCTGTGTCTGAAGAGTCTGACTTGGCTCTGAAATCATTCGTGTGTGTCTAACCTTTGGCCCCTTTTTCTCTTCTCATCGCTTCCTCTTCCGGATTGCGTCTATTCATTCCGAAATCTTGCTCTTCTTCTGCGGCCGTACCAGCTTACTTACTTATATTGTGTTGTGTTGTGTATCCGTTGGTTGTGCACATTGGACAGGACAGGAGCGAGAGTCTAATCTAAACTGGGTCTACCCGATTCATTCCCCTCGCTTTTGCTACTTTGTAAATTCTGTGCCTTAGACAAGCACACCATCTCTTTCTACGGCAGAATTTGTTTATTAGATTAGGGAGCCATGCCCCTGGCATAAAGCATATTTTAACATTTATGAAAAGAGAAAAAACTTGTTACGCGCATGTAACACCTTGTATGCATTTTCGACATACCGTGCGAACCGCCCAATTTTCGGACGTATTTATGCGATTTCCGTAATCACACACGACAGCCGGTTGTTGTGCAAGTTATGAACTTGAACCTGGGAGGAACGCACTTTATGCGGAAGTAATTGACCCATTATTGGATTACGGGAAGAAATAATTGCGCACAGCCTCGCAATAAACAAGCATTCAAGCAAAACATTGGATTATACTTTATATTTTTACTCCAAATGTAACCGAAATTTATTGAATTGATAGAATTATATTGTCAACTTTGATTTTTTTAATTGTATTGAAAAAAACCGTATCAGATGTCGTGTTAGATGTGAAAAAATCAATTAATCTCCAACGGTGGTTTAATCACAATGGTATATGAGAAGGGTGCGCCGAAACGAAATTCGTTTTTGGGCATTTTTTACCTTTTTTGGTTGCTTTTTTGCACATGACAACCTTGGACAGTTTACAAATTACTGGTAAACCAATCTCTTTTGATGTTAAAAAGCCACCGTGACATTTTATACCAAAAATGCCGTTTTTATCGTTTTTTAATATTGACTTTTAATCAAGTTTTTTTCTCTTGTTAGTATTGATTTTATAACTGCAACCGCATCGAATCGTTTGTTTGAAATGTACAATTTTATGTGATTTATACAAAATATTTCCCGAAAACTTTCGGCTACTTCCGCTGTGTAGAAAAAGTTTTATCGCTTTTTTAGGGGGATACTTACGTGCATTTTATGACGACGTTTCGATGATAATTCTTTCTCCTTGTGTCTACCGTAACTGTGGTGAATCTTCCCTTTATAGCCCATTGTGTATGATATTAAATTCTATTTGGTTGATTTGTTGATACTTGAAATTTTACTTTCAAAACATTGTTATGTATTCATTTTTACGCAGTGCAATGATGATTTGATGCTTTCATAATGAACCTATCACACATTGTGTTACAGTTATGAGTTGCACTTTTAATTTTTCAACCAAATGGAATTTTTTTTTCGTACGCTAACGTTCGATATTTAATCAAGTTGAAACTATACGATTAAAAATTGAACAATGATCGGTTTATCCTGTAATCTTGCGGTGTTACGACCGCATAGAAATCATTTTTGACGAATATTGGAAACGAGCGTTAGGGATAAGTTATAACCGAGGGATTACAAGACGCCCTGCAGCGCTGCGCACATCCTAGTTCAGGATGTGAGTATATTACTCACCCTTGGTGGATGTTGATATCCCGCCTCGTCATTGTCACGTCTGTCACAATGACTCTGCACAGATAGACACTCATCGCTGATGATTCTTCTAAATCTTTTAAAACGCAGTTTTAAGAAGCTGTTTTTATTGTAGATAAATTCACACATTTCTTTGTATATTCTCAGTGGAGTTGTCATCGGACTCAGCGGGAGACTTTTTTAATGATGTTAATGATAAACATTTTTTGACCTTCAGTTCCGGCGTAAGGCGTTTTTAATTCATGCCCTTGAAAATGCAAAAAATTAACATTTAGGTCACTATCACGGATAAACAAAATATTAAATTACAAAGGGTTGGGTGTTACGTTTGTTATGCGAAAACACTATAACTGTGACACTAACGTATTTTGCACCTTGATTTATTCACCATTTAAAATTATTTCAGACATATGAAATATTTGCGATTTTACTTTGACACCATTATTATCGAAACTGATTTGCATGCGCCGTATGCATACTTGGCGTAGACTTTTAAGTTTCTATGAATTTCCACGCTTGACGTAACACACAAGGGTGGAAGATTCAAGTGTCGTTCCTTCGTTTATGACTGGGAGTGAAAATGAAAAAGTACGAGAAGAGCAAATACGCCGCGATCTATTTTCTATGATCGAGGACGGTTTGTGTGCGTCCGCACCAATTAATCATTGCATTGGCACTGAGCGAGCATAATCCATCCATCTTTACATTTCTGCTTTTTGAAAAGACGCAGAGCACACACGCTGGACAAACGTCCTTAGATACTTTTTTTCTGCAGTTTCTGAAAGCATGGGGCTACCTAAAATCAATAATGTTTCAGAATTTCAATTTCTCAAAGTCCGTGAATAATTAAATGGAATCGCGTCTTGTTTGCATAAAAAAAATCCAGGTGTAATATAGAAATACTCTAGTTGTTGATAATTTCAAGGCAAATTATTACACTTGACAGCGTAGATAAAACAAAATAATTGGTCTGCATTCCAGCGTTGAGGTATTTCCTAGCGGAAAATATTATTTATTGCTAAAGGAAATTAAACGTAAACGGTGTTTAGTTAGTTGAGTTGTTTCTGTCGTGACACCATAGTCAAAATAATATTTAAAAAAGTGCGCAAAATGTGGAAATTATTCCTTGATGATTATTCAGGTTAAATAATAAAATATAAAATCACTACTAGTATTTTAAATCATGTTTCTAATTAATTTTTAGATAAAAGATTGAGTGATTATCCGCTCATGGGTAATTGCTCGACACTGATTGGAATAGTCGCGTGTTATTTACTTTTTGTGCTGAAATTAGGCCCGGCCATGATGAAAAATCGTCCGGCGTTTAATCTACGTACAGTTTTGCTTGTATTCAACGCTGTGCAAATCGTAATGTGTTTGTATATCATCACTATGGTAAATATTGAATATTTTGGAAGAGGATACAAATTGAATTTTTTATTTATTTGATTATTTTAGATTGTTAAAACTATTCCATTGAATGCTTTCACTTGTATGACGAATCAAACGACAAGTCCGAGTGATTTGGTTTTATTGAATGTCTCATACCTTTATTGGGTTATTAAGCTTATTGATTTGTTTGATACGGTAATGAAATAGTATATTAAGTACCTATCAAGTGACTAAACGAGCGTTTTTGTTTAACAACGTTTAGCCACGTGTATTTTTTCTACTTCCACTTTATTTCCACGTTGAGACAAATGCGCAGGCGCAAGCTCCACCCCGTGACTAAAGGCTGTGACTAAACTACTTTAGTCACGGTCTTGGTCGTCCGTGTTTAAACTATCACATTTTGTGTCTTAAAACCGTGGATAAACAGACGCTTTAAAAGTGGAAGTAGAAAAATAGATATTTTTGTTAATTTTAGAAATTAATACTTTTCATTTTTAGATATTTTTTGTTTTACGTAAAAAATTCACACAAATTTCAACGTTGCATGTTTACCATCACACTTTGATGGTTTCCGTTGGCTGGATAATTAATAAATATTATCCTGCCGGTGAATTAGTGTGGCTAGGATTACTCAATAGTATCGTGCATGTTTTCATGTACTTTTATTACTTTTGTGCGGTGATGTTCGATGGCAAAATTAATATTTGGTGGAAAAAGTATATCACACAAGCACAAATCGTAAATATTAAATATTATTATTTTCAACTTTTTTAACCAATCATTTTAATATTTATTATTATTTTAGTTACAATTTATCACACTGGGTACAATTTACACAATAAAACTATTCGATTCAACTTGTGAGTATCCGAAAGGTATGCTGGTATTCCATCTTGGTCAAGTATCTCTTTTGTGTTATATGTTTGTAAATTTTTATTACAACGCATATATCAAGCAGAAAAAAACAACAATTAAGAAAAGTAGATTAAATTTTAAAATTTTCGTTGATAATGTACTAATGATAAAATAAAAGTTACGCAAATTATCCTATTATTTCACTTTTTAATTTTATTTTTTATTTCAACGCGTTTCCACACTAGACTGGTGAACTGGTTCTGATGACACAATTTATTCCATCATTAATAAATCATTGATTTAATATTCGCTTTTGGGTATATATAAGCAAATATAGTCGATAGTCATTCTTAGTTACAGTTTCGAGTGATTAGATTACGTAGAATAAGTTTTAGTGTTTCACATTCAACATGGATCGTCTTTATGATATTTACGATACTCTCATATATAAATATGCAGGTATTTTTAATTCAATCATATTATATTTAAAAAAAAATTAAAATTTTTAAAAATATTGCAGATCAACGAATAATTTCGTATCCCTTAATGGGATCACCTTTTCCAATTATTATAATAATGTCTGCTTATTGGTATATGATTAAGAATGGTGAAAAATGGATGGCGAATAGACCCGCGTATAATATCAAATTTTTCATTCAGACATACAATATTCTACAAGTATTAGTATGTGGATTTCTTGGTATTAGGGTAGGTCATCTATTTTCTTATAAATAATAAATTTTTTCTACTTTTTCCACGGTTTTGAGACACGAAACATGGCATTTTAACAACGGTCGTGACTAAAGTGCCGCTTAGCGCACTTGATACTCAATCTACTTTTATCTATTTCCACATTTAAAGCGCTACTTTTTCTACGGTTTTAAGTCACGAAAAGTGACTCTTTAATCACGGCCGTGACTAAAATTCTTTAATCTCGTGGTACTTAATATACTATACGAATTTTAATCTTCAGGCGCTTCATATAATCTTACAAAGAGACTTAGTCTGCATAACACATTTCACCGACTCTGAATATGACCTGAAAGTAATTTTCTACACCTGGTTGTACTATTTAATCAAAATCAGTGATTTACTAGACACAGTTTTCTTTGTTTTGCGTAAAAATTCGCGCTTGTTAGTACTTTACACACCTACCATCATACTCTGATGGTGGTTGGGTCGTACGCGTTGGCGCGGTACCTCCTGGTGGTGAGATGGCTGTTATGGGTACCCTCAACAGTCTGGTTCATTCCGTCATGTATTCCTATTACTTTTATTGTCTTTACAATAACAGCAGGCAGAATATCTGGTGGAAGAAGTACATTACACTTGACAGCGTAGATAAAACAAAATAATTGGTCTGCATTCCAGCGTTGAGGTATTTCCTAGCGGAAAATATTATTTATTGCTAAAGGAAATTAAACGTAAACGGTGTTTAGTTAGTTGAGTTGTTTCCATCGTGACACCATAGTCAAAATAATATTAAAAAAGTGCGCAATATGTGGAAATTATTCCTTGATGATTATTCAGGTTATATAATAAAATATAAAATATAAAACTAGTATTATGAAATTATAAGAATTTCTAATTAATTTTTAGATAAAAGATTGAGTGATTATCCGCTCATGGGTAATTGCTCGACACTGATCGGAATAGTGGCGTGTTATTTACTTTTTGTGCTGAAATTAGGCCCGGCTATGATGAAAAATCGTCCGGCGTTTAATCTACGCACAGTTTTGCTTGTTTTCAACGCTGTGCAAATCATTATGTGTTTGTATATCATCACTATGGTAAATATTAACTATTCTGGATGATAGTACAAATAGAATTTTATATTTATTTGATTATTTTAGATTGTTAAAACTATTCCGTTGAATGCTTTCACTTGCATGACGAATCAAACGACAAGTCCGAGTGATTTGGTTTTATTGAATGTCTCATACCTTTATTGGGTTATTAAGCTTATTGATTTGTTTGATACGGTAATGAAATGGTATATTAAGTACCTATGAAGTGGCTAAACGAACGTTTTTGTTTAACAACGTTTAGCTTACGCTATTTTTTCTACTTCCACTTTATTTCTACATTGCAAGGCAAATGCGCAGACGCATGCTCCATTCCGTGACTAAAGTACTTTACGGTTGTTCGTGTTTAAAGTGCCACATTTTATGTCTTAAAACCGTGAAAAACAGGCGTTTAAAGTTGGAAGTAGAAAAACCTATTTTATTTTAATTTTTGAAGTTAATATTTTAAATTTTTAGATATTTTTGTTTTACGTAAAAATTCACGCAAATTTCAACGTTGCATGTTTACCATCACACTTTGATGGTTTCCGTTGGCTGGATAATTAATAAATATTATCCTGCCGGTGAATTAGTGTGGCTAGGATTACTCAATAGTATCGTGCATGTTTTCATGTACTTTTATTACTTTTGTGCGGTGATGTTCGATGGCAAAATTAATATTTGGTGGAAAAAGTATATCACACAAGCACAAATCGTAAATATTAAATATTATTATTTTCAACTTTTTTAACCAATCATTTTAATATTTATTATTATTTTAGTTACAATTTATCACACTGGGTACAATTTACACAATAAAACTATTCGATTCAACTTGTGAGTATCCGAAAGGTATGCTGGTATTCCATCTTGGTCAAGTATCCCTTTTGTGTTATATGTTTGTAAATTTTTATTACAACGCATATATCAAGCAGAAAAAAACAATTAAAAAAGTAGATTAAATTTTTTAAATTTTTCGTTGATAATGTACTAATGATAAAATAAAGTTACGCGTTTCCACACTAGACTGGTGAACTGGTTCTGATGACACAATTTATTCCATCATTAATAAATCATTGATTTAATATTCGCGCAGGTATATATAAGCAAATATAGTCGATAGTCATTCTTAGTTTCAGTTTTCGAGTGATTAGATTACGTAGAATAAGTTTTAGTGTCTCACCATCAACATGGATCGTCTTTATGATATTTACGATACTCTCATATATAAATATGCAGGTATTTCTTCAATTTCAATCAAAATATTTAAAAATTATACAAATAATTTAAAAATGTTGCAGATCAACGAATAATTTCGTATCCCTTAATGGGATCACCTTTTCCAATTATTATAATAATGTCTGCTTATTGGTATATGATCAAGAATGGTGAAAAATGGATGGCGAATAGACCCGCGTATAATATCAAATTTTTCATTCAGACATACAATATTCTACAAGTATTAGTATGTGGATTTCTTGGTATTAGGGTAGGTCATCTATTTTCTTATAAAATAATAAATTTTTTCTACTTACACCTTTAAAGCGCCACTTTTTCCACGTTTTTGAGACACGAAATATGGCATTTTAACAACGGTCGTGTCTAAAGTGCCGCTTAGCACACTTGACACTCAATATATTTTTTTTTTATTTCCACATTTAAAGCGCTACTTTTTCTACCGTTTCAAGACACGAATAGTGACTCTTTAATCACGGCCGTGACTAAAGTCCCTTAATCACATGATACTTAATATACTATACGAATTTTAATCTTTTAGGCGCTTCATATAATCTTACAAAGAGACTTAGTCTGCATAACACATTTCACCGACTCTGAATATGACCTGAAAGTGATCTTCTACACCTGGTTGTACTATTTAATCAAAATCAGTGATTTACTAGACACGGTTTTCTTCGTTTTGCGTAAAAAATTCGCGCTTGTTAGTACATTACACACCTACCATCATACTCTGATGGTGGTTGGGTCGTACGCGTTGGCGCGGTACCTTCCTGGTGGTGAGATGGCTGTTATGGGTACCCTCAACAGTCTGGTTCATTCCGTCATGTATTCCTATTACTTTTATTGTCTTTACAATAACAGCAGGCAGAATATCTGGTGGAAGAAGTACATTACTCAAATGCAATTGGTAATTATTGAATTTGCTTTATATTTATAAACTTTTTTTTACAAATTTTACACCACACGATATTTTTTCTCTAGGGGCAATTTTGTTTCCTGCTCATATTCTACACATGGAAATTATTCTTCGTCAAAAATTGCGCTTATCCAAAATTGTATCTGGTTTTCGCAATCATTCAAATCCTGGCGATGTTGAACATGTTTGGAAACTATTACTATAACGCTTTCATCAAAACAAAACCCGCACAACCTGCGAAGGGCGAGGTGAACAACAATAAAACAAAAAAAGTCAACTGATAGACAAATGAAATATTCTCTGTAAATTAATAAATTAATATTAAATATTTACTAGTAGTCTACTAGTCCGCAGACTATTGTATTTAAATTTCTGCGTGTTTTCGCGAATAGTTCAAGGATATTCCGCCGCCGTCGCGACCTCATTATCATAGTCTATTAGCCGTGAAGTGGTCACAGTGCGTCGGTTTTTTGGACCATCTGTCAAACAGTATTAGACTCGCTAAATGGCGTGTATAACAGTTACCCTTTTACTTTTGGCGTTTCATGCGTTGTGTGTTTGATATCGACGGGGTCAGTGGTCAGTACGCGTGCGGCGCGCGTATGCTAATTATAGGTCGGGGGTTGACCATGTTGCATGTTGCAGAATAGAGAATATCGCGCGAATGCATCCGCCCCTCAGGTGCTGCGTGCCGCGTTGATTTCATCAACCGAATTATATTATAATAGTGGACACGCGCGCCGGGGTGCGCGAAAAAGGCACCATTGCACGCCCACCTTGATTTTTAGGTTTTAACAATAGTAATACACCATTAGGGTGAATATTTTACTTAAAGTTAAACTCTTGCAGTTTAATCTAATAATGTGTGCAAGCTGCACGATTTTCGTTCTTACAACATTAATTAATATTAAGTTATTGTCAACGTATTAAAGTTAAATTTGAATATTATCTCTTAACGACGTGACGTGACACGTGGCGCCTTGCAACGTAAAGAAATTTAGATAAGAAGGTGATTTGCATATGTTCCATTCAATATGGCGGACTTATAAGCGTGACTATTTTATCTCACCTGAATTATCTATGCGTCGATGAATATATTAACGATGTAACAATTTAAATATTAAGCGTTTCAATTTTTTTTATGTCTATTGCGCATGCGCGTCCAAATTTGTCAAACCTAATTTATCCGAATTAAAGCATGCCACCCTCTTGCATTGTATATGCATTTTTTCTGCTGGCATTGTTCAATGCAGTTATTATTACTTGATACGAATCGTATTGATGCCCCATGCGAGTATTAAACGTGTTGATTATGCGGCGCTCCACGTGGCCGTATCATCAGCGCTCATAATTGCGCATTGCGCGAGTAACCGCCGTGTGTGCTGGGAAGGGAGACGCCGATGTGAAACTGTAACAACATATGCTCCGCTCGCGAATGAATATTAACATGTTATCAACGTCCGAACAACGAGGCACGCGCGACTTGTCGAACAATAATGGGTGCTTAATCATTCATTCAATGATGCTAGCACATAGGTACTAGCAGTTTTTGGCCGGTGTGCTTATTAAATTACAATTGGTACATGAATAATTACTGTTCGGTTATTGTGTAGCTTATAATAATAAGTGCTAGTACTCAACTATGAATTATAGGGTTAGAATAGAGTATTATCTAATTTTTATAGCAATATTATAACAAAAAACGTTCGTTTTTTTGGTCGAAATTTTGGATTTTTATGAATTTTACATGCATTTTTCAATATTTTTTTTAAATTTTAATTGTTTATTATTATAATTTTTTTGTCTATTTTTGGAAAGGAATTTTGATATTTTTAGCAGTTTATTTATTTATTTTTTTTGATATTTTTTTCTACTTCCATCCTTAGAGCGCCACTTTTTTTCATGGTTTTCTGATACGAAAAGTGACACTTTAATCACGGGTGGCTAAGGCTGTGATTAAAGTGCCGTTTAGCGCACTTGATACATAATCAGTGATTTATTAGACACTATTTTCTATATTTTATGTAGAAAAATTATAAAACGTAATTTTTTCGTATAATTTTTGGTTTTTAATTGTTTTATATCTTTTTTAGGCATAAAAGTAACAATATTTTGTTTTTTTAATTGCAATTATTCATTATTCCACTAATTCTCAAATTACAAGTTATAATTTCTGTGGGAATATTGTAATACAAGTATCTAAACTTCCACTACTCATATCACAAGCTAATCTGCACTATTACTGTTCACAATCCGATTTGCAATTGAACCCGTTCATCTCCCAATATCGCACGCCCAATAAAACCAAATAAAATTCGATACCGATCATAAATATCAAACTTTATCGGTATGACGATACGTGTAATGATCTAATGGTTATCTGGCGGCCATCTACACTTACCTACCTCTACTTTCCTCCGTACCTCTCTGTGCTCACATTGTGAAT